CTCATACAAATATGTATGTCATTTATTTAATGAAATGCATACTAAATTTGACATGCCGATTAAAATGCGGCAATAAAGCAATCTTGGTCAAAATTAATACATACAACTTCTAGATTTTCAGACAAACTTTATTAAAAAAAATGTAATGAAAACTTTAATAACGAACAAACAACATTAATAATGTTGTCGTTTTTCACCAAAAAAGATATAAAATTGTCAAATGTTCAAAACGTCAATCTTTTTTACTAAAAAATAAATTGATTAAAAATATATAAACAAATAATATGTTTTAAGCGCAGTGTTTAGAAAATAAGACATATATTTATATTTTTTTCTATGTACAGTAAAAAAATTGCTTTTTAATAAAAAACAAATTTGGGCCCTTTAAAGGTTTTTTTTCCTAAATTTTGTTTAAAAGGGATAAAAAAATTTAAATTTTGGTTTTTAATTTGAAAATTTTTAAAATTTTAAAATTTTTTGGGTGTTTAAATTTAAAAAAACTTTTTGGGGTTTCGGGAACAATTTCTAGATAACCAATTTAAAAAATTTTAAAAAAAATTTTTTTTTAATGGGTTTTTTTCCCCCTGTTTGTTTTTTTTACGTTTTTTGAAACACCTTTCCCAAAAGAAACATTTTTTAATTTCCCAAAATTTTAAAATTTTTTAATGGGTTATAATTTTACAATCAAAAACTAAAAAAAGATTATTTTTGAGGCACAATGTTGATATTAAAATCAAAACCCTTTAAAAAATTTCCTCTTAAAACCCAAATTTTGGAAAAAACTTTTATTTTTATTTTAACCCCCGGGTAAAAAGTTCCAAAAAGGGAAATCTTTGGGGGTTAAATCCAAACCTTTTAAATGTTTTGTGTTTCCCTAAAAGTTTTTTTTTTTTTAAAATGGGGTTTTAAAACCAACACTTTAATTGAAAAATAAACTTTTTTTTATTTTGGCCCAAAGAAGGGGCCCTAAACCGGCCCCAATATAAAACAAAAAAGGTAAAAACACGGCAAAAACGTGAAAAAAGGGTTTGAGATGCCAGGGGGGGGTTTTTCAAGCGAATAATTCTTAAGAAAAAATAAAAAAGAAAGCTGGCCCTTTTGGTTTAATGTTTTTTTCGAAAAAATTAAACCAAAAAAAAAAAGGTTTAAAAAAACAGCATAAGTAGGTAACAATTTTTTTTAAAAAAACCCAAAGTTTTTTTCATGCCCACAGACAAATTCCCCTCAAATTCGCGACCGAACTTATTTTTTTTCCCTTTATTAAACTTTTATTTTTATTTTTTTTCTTTTCTTTTTGTCTCCAAAGAAGATAACTGTAAATCTTCACTTTTGTCCCGTAAGAAAAACTGACCATTTTTGAAACATATTAAAAAAAGATCCCTATAAATTTATGTAAAATATCCGGCAGGTTGAAAATCTGTAGTGACTTTAAAACTGATCGGTTACATTTTTTTCAAAAAACGCCCGACTGTACCCCATTTTGGGCCGGGCTTGGGGTGGACTTACACAATTAAAAAATGGAAAAAAACCTTTCGAATAAACGTAATTTAATTGCGGTTTATTTTCCAAAAAGGCAGTCAGGGTTTGTGGTGACGCCATAAAAAGAAAACCGATGTATGTCCTAAAAAAAAAAAATTTTGTTCTTTTGTTTTCATTTTCAACATTTTGAAAAAATTATCAAAAAATACCCGTTTTTCTTTCTGCAAAAAGTCTTTAATATGTGAAATTTTATAACGTTTAAAAATTGTGTAAAAAACCGAAATTTATTAAAGAAATGGGGTTTAAAACAAGGGTTTTTAATGAGGTTTTTAAAAAAACAAATTATTTTTTTTTAAAAATAATAAGAATAAAAAACCCTTTTTTCCCCTTTAAAATTTGGGAAATTTTGTATTTTTTGCCAAAAAAACACTTATTGGAATCTTATATAAAACCATTCTTGTTTACTTATCATTTCTTTACTTACTTTTTATTTGCACCACAATCGTGATTACAAATAAGAAAACACGTCTCCAATCCATCTTGTCACTTCAAAAATGTCTAAACATCTGAATGCGTAGTAAGAAAATACTGATATTCATTATGCAAAACCGTTTTAAAATGTAACACGTATTTCTTGAGATATCGCATTTCTTGACATAACATAGAGATACATTTTACATACACTGTCCAGCTCGATGCATAATAACAATAAAAAGACTCTTTACTTGATTGTATCAATTTAAAAATCAATATATCAATATAAATAGAACGATTGCATTTTTTATTTAAGATCTTGATGTCTCATTGTTCCAAATAGCTTATTGTGATACACGTTTCCTCAAGTTTTAAGGCCAACAAATTGTCACAATTTCTACTTGTTTCTTTCAATGACTTTGTTGTTCTGGTTGATATCATAGAAGCATAAACTTTATTACATGCTTTTCGGCGGTTTATAGAAAAATATCAGTGAAATAAGTAGAGGATATTTGTTTGTTTTGCATGTAAGATTGAAATATATTTCACCGAGTGAACACCAAATGCAATATTTTCACGAGAGGCGTAGCCACGAGTGATAATAGAATAGCTGGTGTTCACGAACGAAATATATTTCAATCTTATATGTAAAACAAATACATTTTCTTTTTATTTCATGATTTTTAAGTCATTTTAAGTACATTTGTATTATTTTTACTGATTTTGCCGCGTAAAGTCGCGCATTCTCCTTTGTGACGTCATCACATCATGACGTCACATCATCAATTTTGAAATATAGTTCTGTTTTATTTCTCTAATTTTGTAACATTTTTAACATGATGTATGATGACATCGACTTTTTTTCCTAAAGAAGCAAAATCTACGTATGACGACATTATATTTCTGCCTGTTATTCCATTTAGTTACGATTTTCTTTTCATCCGCATTCAGATATAAAGTCCGGCTACAGTGAAAATTATATTTTATTATCATAAATTTCACTAGTGGTTTATCAGAATATAATCACCCCATATATTACAGTAAAACACTGGAAAGCATGAAATAAAAAACCCTGATATTTCAATGTCTGAAACAGTGAAATTATCAATTTGATATTTTCACTGTTTTGAACTTCAGCCCGTTACGTTGTTTCAGTGAAATACCAGCGTGCACAGTAATGGAAACAACTTAATGACGTAACGTCGTAAATGACATCATTATTTAGCGTGCTTTTCATTTAGTATTAGATTTAAATGTCTATTTAAACGTTTCTTTGCTTATAATAAAAAAGAAAATTTGTTTAGTTTAGTGTAAGGTCGGAATATCTTTCACCACGTGAACATCAAAAATTAATATTTCACTCATGGCTGTGCCACTCGTGAAATATACCTTTTGGTGCTCACTCGGTGAAATATATCCTGATCTTACACAAAATTAAACAAATATCCTCTATATATTTTTTCTGTTTGTCACTGCTTGATTGCCGTCTTTGTATTGAAATGAATAACAGATTCTTGTTGCGTTTTTTATACCTCAATATATTCTTCAATGTTATGATACAATTATTGACTAGTGAATATGATGTGATATTCACCGATATATTGACCGAGGGGATAGCGATATTACCTCATGAGGTATTTCGAGCACATAACTCTTACATTCATCCGTATTTAGTCAGTGTAATAGTTAACTCCCCTAGACTGACTCATACTTTAGCTGTTATATTCAATACTACAAGTAAGCGAACAGTATGGATCCTGATCAGACTGCGCGGAGGCGCAGGCTGGTCTGGATCCATGCTGGTCGCAAACACACTATGTTGGTTTTGTCCTGACGCGGCTCAAATTTACTTTATTTCTATATTCTATAAGTACTCCTAACTGATACATTGTTTACAAAAATGTTTTTAAAAAATTCTTAGTTAAACTCAATACTAAATTGTTTGGGTTGAATGGAACTTCAATCTTCAATACTACGAGGGTCGTCCGGAAAGATCGTGGACACCTGCTTTAATACGAGTATTACGCATTAGAATTAAATGAAACTTTCTCCAATCACTCATCAATGTACCGTGATCGATGTTACAAAATTTCAAAACATTCCGTTTTTAAATAATGAAATGGCACGGGACAAGCCTCGTAAGTTTGCAAATTCAAAAAATATCCGATCAAACACTAGAACATTTTTAATTCAAAAATGGTAGCGTTCTTTAACGGATATTGATAATGTTACATAAAGCGGTGAAAATTTTAACCAAGTGAGCGGCTAGAGTTATTTCAACATGTTTATACGAAAATAATTACTTACTGGGAAAAATATTTTTGCGTAAATGTGAACATTATTTGTTTTAGGCAAATTATATTCGGAATAACTTTCAGTACGAAATGCTTAAAGGCAGACACAGGCAGAATGTTAATTTCTTCTTGAATGTTTCATACATTATTCTGTAAATATACTCGAAATAAATACACTTTAAAATTGTTCTCCTTTTAACCACGTGGATCAGGTTAGAGTGTTAAGATTTCAAAATAGTTGTCACATTGAACTCTGGAAACGTTGAAGAACATGTCAAATGGATGACTAAGACTTGCTTTTATCATCCTACAATATCTGTTATTGTAACTTGCAGGCTTTGTTCAAGCACATGACTTGTTTTAAAACCACGGCGTCTAGATTTCGTTCAACATATAATTATATAGATGTATTACTGTTTTAAACCCAAAATATATAGAATCTATACAGACATTTATGTTGGAACTTTTAAAAAGTCATTTTAGCGTGATTTGAATACATAAAATCATTTTCATATTTTGTCACTAATTTGTCTGAGTATCCCTTTAAAGCAATTGGACCCAGACTTAAGAAATATATAGATTTTCTACATGTTCATGTATAGTACTACCATGTATACAAACATTAACGGTAATATGATCAATATAGCACGTTAAAATTGCCTATTCAATTACAACCTTTCAAAATGTGTTTGAGAAATATTACATTTGTGTTCAGTAGATCATGTCTTTTATAAGATCATTTTGGTTAAGGTTACAAAAATAATTTGTATATCGGTGTTTTAACTATCAAAGGAAATACAATATGTGTAACCGAGAACTACATGTATATGCACTACTATACTATACTGACTAAGACAACGTTGTTTAAATTTAACGTGTGCTTATCCAAGCTGACTATGATTACACTATATACACTGTGAGTAAAATGCATTTGGATTGAAAATGAGACAACAATGTGGTGGAAACGGTTCAAAAATAGTAACTGCAATAGTGTTATGTGTTCTTGCTTTAGTTTGGATGATTTCAAGTAAGAATTCGATACCTATTTATTCCGATGGTTTAATTCAAAACAAAATCGGAAAGAGTATTCAGAAGAACAAAATTCAGAACGACCCAGGAAATAAAGCAATTATGCGAAATAACGAAATGGGAAAAGACAATGGAGGAATACACAAAATACCTAATGACGAAACAGTTATTGCGCGTGCTAATAATCCAAAACAAGGATTCCATAATCATAAACCGTTACCGGCTGAAGCGGGACCAAATACTGATCAAGAATTGAATGGTGAGAAATTATCGGCTGTCGATTTGCTCGCTGTTAGATCTTCAAAAGAATATGTTGAAAAGGAAATGGAAAAATTAAATAGAGAAAAAGTAGCAGCAGACGACCCAAGACTTGTGACAATGATACGAAATCATTTCATTAAACCACCATCTGATCAGCCGTACAACCTTCACGACACAAACAAACTTGATACTTCACTGGGACAGGCTGCCTTCGTTGACAATAGGCTCGGATTTCAAGTAAGTTTTCGAATTCTATGCTCATGCTTGAGTAAAATATCTTTATGACAGACATTTATTGAAATCTATGAAAATCTTACTGAATATGTATATTTAAATAAAAGAATAGATAAATGAGCCGCGTCACGACAAAACCAACATAATAGGTTTGCGACCAGCATGGATCCAGACCAGCCTGCGCATCCGCACAGTCTGATCAGGATCCATGCTGTTCGCTATCAGTTTCTCTACTTGTAATAGGGTTGGTAAGCGAACAGGATGGATCCTGATCAGACTGCGCGGATGCGTAGGCTGGTCTGGATCCATGCTAGTCGCAAACCCATAATGTTGGTTTTGTCGTGACGCGGCTCAAATTATGTATGGGAAGCTGCGTTCCCTGTTACAGTCTATAAAAAAAATCTGCCAGTTATTTTAATGACATTATATATTCATATTGTGACCACCTATAGTGTGTATAATTTTAAACATAACATATCTGCTCTGTGTTCAGTAAAATAATGTTTATTTTATATTTATAAAGTGACTGTGTAGCAATTAATAGTTTCTAATATATCAAGTTTGAGCAAGTATATCTTTAAACGTGTTTGTTTCTATAGTAAGCTCTATAATATCGGCTAAAGTAATGAAACTTCTCCGATTTACTACTATTGTTGGACAAATACATGTTCATTACGGTTTAACAGTTATACACATTTGAGCCGTGCCATGACAAAACCAACATAATGGGTTTGCGACCAGCATGGATCCAGACCAGATCCGCGCAGTCTGATCAGGATCCATGCTGTTTGCTACCGGTTTCTTTACTTGTTATAGAGTTTGTAAGCGAACAGCATGGATCCTGATCAGACTGCGCGGATGCGCAGGCTGGTCTGGATCCATGCTGGTCGCAAACCCATTATGTTGGTTTTGTCGTGACGCTGCTCATTTATCGACTGAATTAAACTTTAGATAACTGAAAAAAGAACACACATTTGCAATTATTAGTTATTAAATTGGTATATAGAAACTGTAAAACTGTATCGTAAAATTTTAGATCTCAAATTTTCTCTTTGATATTGCCATTGCATTTGAAGATTTTATCTGTAGCATTAGCTTACTTATTATAAATCTAAAATATTTGCTTCGGTCGATCATTTATTCTAGCACATTATGTGTTGAATATTGAATAGCGATTAAGCCGGTGCTAGGGGGCGTGAGAGATGTTGCACTTTTCCATTTTCTCCCATGAAAAGTGAACAGACTCAATCTTACCGTGTCTTCATTTTTCATGCATTTTTGTAGTTTTCACAACTTCGGAGAGATCCTATGTATAGCTCATCTTCTACATGTAAGCTGTTTTAAGCCATATTCAACGGGATTTTTGTAGTTTTAGCAAACGTGAAACAATTAGAACGTGAATAATGAAACATTACAGATTGTGTGTATTTGTAATCATGATGCATCGTAATGTGTATCTTGTTTTAAATCTAAGTGCATAGTAATTAAATTACAATGTGGTGTATTCTACGAAAGACCGGTAGGGCCATTTAAACTTCATGAAGCTCCGATATCATGTCCATGAATTCACAATTTTATCTTCCATTTTCAACATACGGATTCACGAATTCACGATTTCAGCTTCATGAATTTCTGATTTCATCTTCACGAATTCACGATTTAGAATTCATGAATGCACGATTTCACTTTCACGAATTCATCATCGTGAATTCACGATTTCAACTTAACGAATTCACGATTTCAACTTAACGAATTCACGATTTCAACTTGTGAATTTGTGAAGTTGAAATCGTGAATTCATGAAGTTGAAATCGTGAATTCGTGAAATTGTGAAAATCTGGAATTCATGAAGTTGAAATCGGGAATTCATGAAGTTGAAATCGGGAATTCGTGGAAATCTGGAATTCATGAAGTTGAAATCGGGAATTCATGAAGTTGAAATCGTGAATTCGTGGAAATCTGGAATTCATGAAGTTGAAATCTGGAATTCATGAAGTTGAAATCGGGAATTCATGAAGTTGAAATCGTGAAGTTGAAATCATGAAGATCGGGAATTCATGAAGTTGAAATGTCCCCACCAGTATTTCGTAGTATTCTGAGTAATCTGTTACAACAATTTTAAACCGTAGCTTACATGTATCATACATGAGAAGATATATCAAGTTTATACATTTCTTCCTTATAAGCTTTAATAATGTATGTTATTAATTCATTGGTATACATATGCAATGGCACATGATATTTAAAACGTAATACATTAATTTTACTATTGGTGTTGTAAATACATGCTGCATATATCTATATGTTAACAGAAAAACACAAACGAATAACCAAATGCTAAATTAAAATTATTATGCTTTCATACGCGTATCTACGGTATAATATCGTACCCGGCCTTAACCATATCTTCAGCGATTACCATTGCACCACTTCATATTCCATCTCACATTCTGCACCACAGTATATACCATCCTACCCACTGCACCACATCATATTCCATCTCAACCACTGAACCACATCATATTCAATCTCACCCACTGTACAACAGCATATACTATCTCACCCCACTGCACCACATCATATACCATATCACCCACTGCACCACAGTATAAACCATCCTACCCACTGTACCACATCATATTCAATTTCACCTACTGCACCACATCATATACCATCTCAACCACTGTACCAAATCATTTACCATCTCACCAACTGCACCACATCATATACCATCTCACCAACTGCACCACACCATATTCATTTCAACCACTGTACCACATCATGTACCATCTCACCCACTGCACCACATCATATACTATCTCACCCACTGAACCACACTATATTTAATCTCACCCACTGCACCACATCATATACTATCTCACCCACTGCACCACATCATATACTATCTCACCCACTGAACCACACCATATTCAATCTCACCCACTGTACCACATCATATACCATCTCACCCACTGCACCACATCATATACCATCTCACCCACTGTACCACACCATATACCATCTCACCCACTGTACCACATCATATACCATCTCACCCACTGTATATATTCATCTTTGAATAATAATAATGATAATAATAACCCCACGATAATGAAACCTTAGTGAGTGTAAAATACATTTTAATATTTTGCTGAATTTTCAAACCAATATATCATCACATGTCTAAAAGGATTCATCTAGGAAATTCGATTATAATCTGATTTGATTGGTACTCTCCAAAAACTAAGCTCTTGGTTAGATTATAATTGTTCGAATGGGAATATTAAAAAGTAATATGGTTTTCACAAATGTTGTCTTCAATAAGAGGTTTCTCTTAGCAAAGATATTACAACCATTTTGATATATCTATTACAGGAAAATGGATTTTTTGTTGAAAGTGGGGCTCACGACGGAGAATATTTATCAAACACACTTTTCTTGGAAAGAACTAGACATTGGACTGGAGTGTTGATAGAACCTCTGCCTCGTCCATTTAAAGCGCTGCAAGAAAAGCACCGAAAAGCATACACTATCAACGCATGTTTAAGTATTCATCCATATCCTTCTATGGTAAGATAAGTCTTTCTATATTTTGTCATGATTATGTACTAATTTCAGCAACATAGAGATTCGTTGAGCATACATATATATGTATGGTCCTAAACGCCAGTATTATTAATGTATATTTTTGTTTGATATATTCTTAACAAAAAAAAAAAAAAAAAAAAAAAAACAAAAACAAAAAAAAAACATGGAGCTCGGGCAAATCTTCAAACGCTTTTGCAAATTTTCTGGCACATGTATTTGTAATGTAATAGTGATGTTATAAAAAGTAGCTGATCATGAAATATCTGTCGCTCCATGGATTTTTCGTTCTTGTGGTATAACATGTATACATGTGTAATCTTCTTCACAATTCTGTATATACCTTGTCCTGGATTATTTAAATCTATAACTTGTTATCAGTATTAACTTACACATGGTAGTCAGCTTCTGTCTAATATATTGTGACTAGCATAGCACTGCTTTGCTTTTCTAATTGTACTAGACAATTGTAAACATTCACATGTAATAACTCTTTCGCATTGGGCTCGCTCTGATTTGTAATGTAGAAATAAAAAAAAATGTCAAATGTCAATATAACCTTCAACCCGCCTGTAAATAGACCTGTCCAAATTCCATTTTTGGAACTGCTCGTACTCAAATTTGTGGATACAAGATGAAACTATGAAGTTTTTCAACCAGTAATATAGAACCTGTGAGACTGCACAGATGTGAAAGATGGCCTGGTTTTATACTGCTAGCCATGACTAATCACTCTCGGTTACAGCAGGGTAAATGATAACTGAATATTCATAAGTGTAGAACATTGTAATTAAGTTTAAACTAATCGATTGTTTGTTTGTTATTTAGGAATATCTAACAGCTGAACCAGTGTTGGGGAGAATAGTGCATAAATCAAAAGTTTCTCAAAGGTTTAACAAAATGGGAGAAGTCCTTGTCCAGTGTTTTCCGCTACATTCTATACTTCTTGCATTGAATCAATCGCATGTAGACTTTCTCAGCCTTGATGTTGAAGGAGTTGAAAAACAAGTTCTTGATGCAATCCCCTGGAACAAAGTGGATATCAGAATGTTGGCTGTTGAATTCGATAAATGGCCTGGAGGTAAAGACGCATTATGTAAATACATGAAAAGCAAGAATTATGAATGTTCGGTGACGCTTCAGGCTCAAGCTGCGGCGGATGTTATATTTCGTAAGAGATATTTATAAAATGTCCGGCACAACTGCGAGAGAGGTATTGAATGCTTTCCGGATTGGACAAGTTTGGTGTGAAACTAGAATGGTATATATTGCTGAAAATAAACTAATCTGACTGGGACAGACCGCACAAGTCACTGGACTCGCAAACGCAATATATCGTAGCTGGAACGTGCATTAATCTATTTGGAATGCTTAACTGTATTCATTTGAGGAGCAGCTCTATACTTTGTTTAAAAAAAATTTGTGTTAGAATAAAACACACGTCAAATTCTCTTTGATAGTTTTGTTTGATTAGTGTATGTATAAGGCTATTAACAATTGAAAATTACACCCAAATTGTTGCCGAGTACAAGTGTTATATACAAATAATGTGATACTTGATACATTATGTTTACAACATTTCAGAAAACATTTGCAATTCATTTAAAGGTCATTAGGGAACAAAATTCCATGGTTGTAATTTTCCTACCGTTAAGAATGAATATTAAAAACATTCTAGTAAACGAAGTTTTCTATTATATTTAAAATGGTTTGTTAAACCCAAACATAAAGAGTAATGGTGAATAGAAAAACTGGTATTGTAGAAGTTTATTTAAGTGTGCGAATATTCTCGAGTTCTATCCTTGCAAATCTTTAGACAATAATATAAGATAAAAGAACTATTCTGGGCGAACCACATAGAGACAGCTGTTATTCTGCTTAAGCCGGTGCTAGGGGGCGTGGACGGTAATTTGTACTTTCCAGTACCGTCCATGAACAGGCTCAATCAAACCGGGCCTGCAATATTTTTTTAATTTCGTCGTTTAGATTGTATTCCGTTTTTCTCTATTTAAGTTTTTAATGTTAAAATGCATTAAAGCTCACGCAGATATTTAACTTGTTTAAAAAATTTATGTCTGTAGTCATATGTATACTATAGATGTTATCCGGAAACTCGTCAAATGTGGAGTTTTTCAAGCTTAATCCCTGGTACAAACAAACTTTTTGACATTATAGCTTAACGGTGCACTGCCGTTTACAATAGATTAGTCAACCGAGTTACAGTGTAACTGTAAATGTTTTAACGTTTGTTTGTTCCCCAAAGACAAGCTGGAAAAACCCAAAATATATTTTTTCCGGAGTAAGTTTATTTATAACTAATACCAATGCCCAAATATTTATAAATGACTCTCAAATGTCATACCGTTAGAGATTGCACAATATATGATACAAAGCAAAGCATTCTTGCGTGCAATTTTTATAGCATTTAAGTTTGGTAATATCATTGAACCGTCTAAGTGTAAAGTTATTTAAATCTTAATGATTTTGAAACAAAGGCCCAATCAAGTTAACATTGTTAACCAAGTTGCATTCTGTCATAGCCTGTCACATACATATATATACAATTTCTCTTTTAGAGTAAATGAAAATCTGTGCAAGTGACACATTAAGTAAGCTTTCACTGACATGGCAAATAAGTTCTTTTTCAACAAAAGATTTTGTATACTAGTTTTCTTTATAGTTTGCATAATTGCAGTTTGGATTAAGTTAACTGGTAATAACTTTTCACCTTACTTCGAACACGAACACGAATTAAGTTATCAATTTAATTTAAAGAATATCAAGAAAAATATTTCAACTTACCTGAAAATAGATAATAATTCTGAAAACTTTAAAGAATATGAGATAAATTTTGAAGCGGAAATGGAAGAGCTGAATAAAGAACAAGTAGCGGCAGATGATCCTCGTCTGGTAAAATTGATAAAGAATTATTTCATTGTGGCACCTTCAGATCTGCCGTACGATCTTGATGATATGGATACATTAGATACTTCAAAGGGACAAGCCGCCTTCGTCGATAATAGATTTGCATTCAAAGTAAATATTTCTTATATTTTCTATAGAATGTTAATTCAAACTTGGTCAATTAGTACAAAGAATATGGATGTAATTTTGAATTGAATTACACAATGGCGCTTGCATTGGGCACCATAAAGCAAGACATGTTTTAGTTTGTTAAATAGGTTTTCATTTGTTTTTTTAAATTTATGTTTTATTTTCATAATTATAAGATATGTCTACAATGCTTACTATTACTTCAGAAATAATTGATCCCTTATTAATGCATTATATAGGTTACATTGGTAGTTTTAGGCGGGTACTCATGACACCCGTAATGGTTGGTTCCAGAAAGCGGACATGAAAGTGATTAATATAAGTTTCACACTCGAACCTAGATAAATATGTTTAAACCAAATGTCAGAAACTGCTTTTTCATATGCAAAGCTTTATATTGGTGTGTGTTATCTCTATAAATGACCGACATAGTGTTCAAAGAAATGATGCCTAACATGGGAATGGTTTTATAGATGAAGATCAGATTCGATTGGTCCTAAGTTCGAATTTTATTGAAGCCTTTAATTTAGTATGCATGCATGTAATCTCTACATATATGCAAATATGGATACATTTGAGACCATTATGATTCACGGCGAAGTTTAATTTAATTGTTTTGTATTGTAATTCCTTAATAATTTTAGTATTGATTCAGTAAATTCGAAATTCAATTTGACTAACCTGCTAAAATTTCTAAATGGACCTGTCCGTTTTTCAGTTTGGACAAAACCATTCATCATAATTTAGGGGAAGAATATAAGTACTGACTACATAGTGAACAGTGAAGACCAAAATATACCATCTGATTTAGGAATAGCCGCTATCAGGCCAAGCGTTAGTAAAAGAAATGTTGGGTTTACTGTCATCATTTAATTAACAGCATACTCATTCAAAAATTGCTGAAAATTCGGATTTTTAAACTTTTCATTTATAATGTTTCAACAGTATTACTTTACTTCAATTATTATACAAGAATGTGGTGAAGCCGAGTCTTGTCATTTATTCATGACACTCATAATCTAAGGTACATATCTTGTTACACATATCTTGTTGATACTTATTTTGTTACCAAATCTTGTTTATACCTATCTTGTTATACATATCTTGTTATACATATTTTGTTTTACATATCTTGTTATACATATTTTGTTTTACATATCTAGTTATACATATCTTGTTATACATATTTTGTTTTACATATCTTGTTATACATATTTTGTTTATCATAGATCTTGTTATACATATTTTCTTACACACATTTTGTTATACCTATCTTGTTACAGGAAAATGGATTTTTTATTGAGAGTGGAGCATATGACGGAGAATATCTGTCAAACACACTTTTCTTGGAAAGATCGCGTCATTGGACCGGAGTGTTGATAGAGCCCCTCCCAGACGTATTCCAGACGTTGCAAAAGAAAAACAGAAAAGCATATACTGTTAATGCGTGCCTAAGTTTACACAAATACCCATCAAAGGTAAATTGTGTCTTCATGACCGGAGTACAGACAGACATGTTTACTTCTCATTTATCTTGTGATGAAAATAATTTTATAAGTAATAGAAAGAACATCGAAACACGAGGCTATCTGATATGTATAATGTGGCGTAGCCCCCTCCCCCACCCAAGGATGAATCATATTGCCGAGCGTTTACTAGAGTGCAAGTATTAGCTACCCGCACTCCGAAGCATGCCCATTGATTGGCTCATTTTCTCTGGGGTTTACTTACTGTGACGGCCGTGAAAGGGATAGAAATATCATATTCAGATGCTCGTTCATTGGTTACATTTTTCTGGAGTTTTATATTGTGACAACAGGGAACGTGTTTTTATTTTTGCCTATGATACAAAAGAGAAAGAACATCAAAACACCCGGAATTTCGATTTATACGGGGCGGGGCTATGCCCCCTCGTGCAAATCAGATAGCCTCGTGCTTGCTATTACATAGTGTTAACTTAAAAACTTGAATATTAGTTTTATATTCTATATTGTCATTTGTCAATAAAAAAAATTCGAAAATAATTTTGAAAATTTTAAAGCTTACCATGAATATAATTGAATGCATGGCTTTATTCTTGGCCATCACTTGTGATATCCTCAAATACTCTATGTATGGGAGATTATTTGAAAGGACCGATTATATAAAACAATACGTGCATCAGTCAGATTTCTTAATCTGAAACATAAAAGTTTTTTCTTCAAAAGCAATGTCCTAAGATTTGTCGCCTTAAAATTCGGGACAATCAACATTTAAACTTTAGCCACAGTAACCGTCAGTTAATGTTGAGTATTCAATGAAAATAACACATCCTATTTTGCTCTTTCAGGAATATATTACAACTACACCAGTGCTTGCAAAAGTTTTGAAAACTAATTTTACCCATAAGAATGCTGTCAAAGTTCAATGTTTACCGTTATATTCGATCATGCTGGCATTAAATCGAACAAACGTGGATTTTGTCAGCCTTGACATTGAAGGGGCCGAGGAGAGCGTCCTTGACACACTTCCCTGGGACAAAGTTAACATAGAGATGTTTTGTATTGAATATGATAAGTGGAATGGGGGAGAAATTGTTTTGCGCAACTATATGGAAAGCAAAGGATATGAACATTTAATGAGCATGTCAGCTTACCGCGCAAGAGATATAATATTCCGTAAGAAAAATCAGAAGACCTGACACACAGACAATCCAACCAATCAGAAGCCGTGAAACACGGACAATGCTACCAGTCAGAAGCCCCGACACACGGAAACCCCCACCAATCAAGAGCCCTGACACACGGACAATCCTACCAATCAGAAGCCGTGAAACACGGACAATGCTACCAGTCAGAAGCCCCGACACACGTAAAATCCCACCAATCAGGAGCCCTGACACACGGACAATCCTACCAATCAGAAGCCGTGAAACACGGACAATGCTACCAGTCAGAATCCCCGACACACGTAAAATCCCACCAATCAGGAGCCCTGACACACGGACAATCCTACCAATCAGAAGCCCTGACACACGGACAATGCTACCAGTCAGAATCCCCGACACACGTAAAATCCCACCAATCAGGAGCCCTGACACACGGACAATCCTACCTAAGCAAATATTTTGATTCCCACGTCAATGATATACAGATGAAAAGTAGGCAATCAGGTTTCGAGTCAGTCAGCTCCATTTTGTAGTTCAAGCATACATGTTTCGGACCTATACAGCTGAACAAAGCATGACAGTATAAACTTTATTATTACAGATAGTCAATGTCATTTATAAGTTAAGGTCAATTAAATCTTCTTAAATTTCTTGTCCAATGGATTATTGTGTCTAAGATTGAAGACAGTTCATTCATTTCTTACAAAGTTATAGCAAATTATAGCAAAAAATGTGAAATCACAATAATTGACCTTCAAGGTCGAGGTTATTTATGATTCAAAGTCATAATGAGTTTGATTTTCTTAAAGACATTGTCCTTAAGGAAGGTGTGTTCAAGTCTAAAAGACACTGCCCTTAAGGTAGGTGTGTTTAAGTATGAAGACAATTCATAAATACCAAAGTTATAGCCAGTCATAGCAAAAATCAAGCAAAATTTGTCATTGATGTTCAGTCTGGTGTACTTGAAGGTCTTGAACTGAAGGTTATTGTGTTCAAGTATGAAGACAATCCATTTCGAAAAAGTTAAAAGTTAAAGTTTCAGGATGGAACTAGCACAGCAATGACAACCCAACAATAACAGGTTTCTTGCTTTCACAATGTTACCATCACACACAGTGGCAATTATCCATTTCAATGCTTTTACATCATTTATAAGGACAATAATTTTCTTCCTTTCACTACTTTCCACAATTGCAATAATGATTTCTTTACTTTCACATTATTACACAGTTGCAAACAGGTTTTGCAATATTATTCCAGAAACCAGCAGTGTCCTATAAACCATTCATATTAAGATTGTTACTCATACTGAAAGTCATTTAAAAACTGTTATTTTGGCACAAAAGGAGATGCAAAATCAGTAACGGATGGGAGAAAGAGTGGACACAAATAATTTTGTGCTTTTAGAGGATAGGTCAATCCATGAATTTAAGATCCGACAAAGTACCATTTCATCTGTTGAACGATTATTTCGTATTACTTTATTTGCATTTTTACTTTTCTTTGCAATAACAAGACAATCCACAAATTTAGGAACTCTCAAAATTTTGTACTTTTTGACACATGTAATTTCATGCTCACAAAATTAAGTGAACTTACAGTCCATAATCTAATAAGCTACACTATGTTGAAAGCAAAAACTAAATTGTAAAAGAATCATCACCAGATAAATTTTGTTTTATTACTTATTTAAAACTTTATTTCATCGAACTGAATACATAAACATAAACAAAATGTTATTCATTGATTATCTGAATTTTTTCAATCTTTACATAGAAAAAAGTTTCCTTTTATAAAGTCAGATGGACATAACTCATGTATTGTACATGTTTTGGAAGTTTTTTTTTTATCAGATGTTATTGCTGTTTTGGCATAAAATGCTTCCAAGGATGTTGTTCTACTTCCAATACATTTTTTAAAGCCCACTCGTCATAGAATTTTAGAAACCAGCTTAAATTTGTTTTCAGTTTTTCGATGGCCATTTTGTCCTCCTCTTTACCATCTTTTTCCTGAAAATGTAAAAACAAAGCAATCAGTCCAGAATCTTGATATATAATCATTGTCTGTTAATTATGATATGACACTGTTTGTTTGATATCAAATTATGATGTCTTGTTTGAATTAAACCAGGATACTATCTGTCTGTTTTATATCACAGTACTCTGCTTGAATCATGGTAGGGTAATGTTTGTTTTATGTCATGATATGACACTGTTTGTTTGGTATCATGGTATGACAATGTTTGTTTGGTATCATAGTATGACATTGTTTGTTTGGTATCATGGTATGATACTGTTTGTTTGGAATCATGGTATGACAATGTTTGTTAGGTATCATGGTATGATACTGTTTGTTTGGTATCATGGTATGATACTGTTTGTTTGGTATCATGGTATGATACTGTTTATTTGGTATTTTGGTATGACAATGTTTGTTTGATATCATGATATGACACTGTTTGTTTGGTATCATGATATGACACTCTTTATTTGGTATCATGGTATGACACTCTTTATTTGGTATCATGATATGACACTGTTTGATATCATATTTTGACACCATTTGTTTGATATCATGATATGACACTGTTTTTTTGATATCACAGTACTCTGTTTGAATCTTGGTATGGTAATGTTTGTTTGATGTCATCGTATGGCACTGTTTATTTGATGTCATTGTATGACAATGTTTGTTAAGCATCATGGTATGGCACTGTTTGTTTTGTATCTTGGTATGACACTGTTTGTTTGGTATCGTGGTATTACATTGTTTGTTTGATATCATGATATGACACTGTTTGTTTGGTATCATGGTATGACACTCTTTATTTGATATCATGATATGACACTGTTTGTTTGATATCACAGTGCTCTGTTTGAATCATGGTATGGTAATGTTTGTTTGATGTCATGGTATGGCACTGTTTGATTGGTATAATGGTATGACACTGTTTGGTATAATGGTATGGCACTGTTTGTTTGGTATCTTGGTATGACACTGTTTGTTTGGTATCGTGGTATTACATTGTTTGTTTGATATCATGATATGACACTGTTTGTTTGATATCACAGTACTCTGTTTGAATCAAGGTATGGCACTGTTTGATTGGTATAATGTTTTGACACTGTTTGTTTGGTATCATAGTATAGCACTGTTTTCTTGGTATCATGGTATGGCACTGTTTGATTGGTATCATGCTATGATACTGTTTGTATGGTATCATGATATGACACTGTTTGTTTAGTATCATAGTATAACAGTTTGTTTGATATCACATTATGACACTGTTTGAATCATGCTAAGACACTGTTTGTTTGATATCATGGTACTTTGACACTGTTTGATATCATTGTGTGTAATCATGATAAAGTTATCAAGTCACTGTTGTTTTTCTTTAGCAATTTTAAATACATAACATTCCAAAATAGAAAGATAAAATATCATTAAATATCATTTAAAAAATTGAAAACAGATGTGATAAATGAAAATGTGAAATAGTGAAACATGACAAACCTAAAGTATCTTAACGTTTATATTTATTGTTTTCCTGATTTGCTGGTTTTCTAAGTCAGAAGATCGCTGTAAAAATCATATTGCAGCCTTTCAGCTTTACTTGCAGAAGAACATGAATGTTGCTCTGTGCAGTATTTCAGGCACAAGGAAGCATTTTAGCAGAACCACCCACCTTTTGTAATCTAGCTGGATAACTCACTCAAATGAAATAATCAAAAGCCCATTAAATGATTCTAACCACCAGCAGTGAGGGGCAAATAATTCAAGTCAGCCTCCATAACCACTCAGCAACTATGAATATAACAAAGCAAACCTAAAATATTTCATAGTTTATATTAAGGCTTGTGCACACCTAAATACATAAGTTAAAATTAATACTAATAACAGATTATAACAATAAGTTTTACCATTGACACAATTCTCTCTTTAGCTCTGTGTATCTGCTTTTCTATAATTCTTACTAGAAGTTTATCAGCTTTGATGTCCAGTTCTTCCATTCTACACAGAATCTCCTTCATCGAGACAAACCAAACTTTCTTTGTATTCAATAGTGCAGTAAATATGAACTTATTGGGCTGAAGCTCTGCATTCTGTAACAATATAAACAAGAGGGTCATCAGGGTTTATAACAAAGTTTTATATTATAACAAATTACTCCTGTAATTTTGTAATTATAAATCTTGCATGTAAATCAAAATATTTCAAGAAATCAAACTTAAGAAAAATAAACTGAGCTTTTAAGAAAAGTAAAAACAAGAGGGCCATGATGGCCCTGAGGTCGCTCACCTGTATATAGGCCCACCAACCGCCACCCCCCCCCCCCCTCAATGTTGCAGGGCCAATTTAACCCAAGGGCTTTTATTTGCACAAACTCAGTAGACACCCATAAGAAGATGTTTCATGCTAAACATCTAAGCTCTAGCTCATTGGGCTTTTTGAAAGAAGATTTTTATTAAGTTTTTACTATACACATATAGTTAAAAACAATGACACCCCTGGGGCCGGGCCAGTTTTGACCCCAGGGCTTTTATTTGAACAAACTTTGTAGACACTTACTAGAAGATGTTTCATGCTTAATATCTAAACTCTAGCTATTTGGGTTTTTTCAAAGAAGATTTTTAAGTTTTTGCTATACACATAGAAAGAAAATCAATGACCCCCGGGACGGGGCCAATTTTGACCCCAGGTCTTTTATTTGAACAAACTTTGTAGACACTCACTAAAAGATGTTTCATGCTTAATATCTTAACTCTAGCTATTTGGTTTTTTTCAAAGAAGATTTTTTAAGTTTGCCAATTTTGACCCCAGGGCTTTTATTTGAACAAACTTGGTAGACACCTATTAGAACATGTTTGATGCTAAATATCTTAGCCATAGCTCTTTGAGTTCTTTAAAAGAAGATTTTTTAAGTTTTTACTATATGCATATAGGAAAAATCAATGATCCCCCGGGGCGGGGCCAATTTTGACCCCAGGGCTTTTATTTGAACAAACTTGGTAGACACTTATTAGAACATGTTTCATGCTAAATATCTTAGCTTTAACTCTTTTGGTTCTTTAAAAGAAGATTTTTAAGTTTTTACTATATGCATATAGGGAAAATCAATGACCCCCTGGGGTGGGGCCAATTTTGACCCCAGGGCTTTTATTTGAACAAACTTGGTAGAAACCTATTAGAACATGTTTCATGCTCAATATCTTAGCCATAGCTCTTTGAGTTTTTTAAAAGAAGATTTTTTAAGTTTTTACTATATGCATATAGGGAAAATCAATGACCCCCCGGGGCGGGGCCAATTTTGACCCCAGGGCTTTTATTTGAACAAAATTGGTAGACACTCACTAGAAGATGTTTCATGCCAAATATCTAAGCTCTAGCTCTTATGGCTTTTTAAAAAAAGTTTTTTTAAGTTTTTACTATATGTATATAGGGAAAATCAATGACCCTCCGGGGCGGGGCCAATTTTGACCCCAGGGCTTTTATTCGAACAAACTTGGTAGACACTTATTAGAACATGTTTCATGCTAAATATCTTAGCTTTAACTCTTTTGGTTCTTTTAAAGAAGATTTTTTAAGTTTTTACTATATGCATATAGGGAAAATCAATGACCCCCCTGGGGTGGGGCCAACTTTGACCCCAGGGCTTTTATTTGAACAAACTTGGTAGACACCTATTAGAACATGTTTGATGCTAAATATCTTAGCCATAGCTCTTTGAGTTCTTTAAAAGAAGATTTTTTAAGTTTTTACTATATGCATATAGGGAAAATCAATGACCCCCGGGGCGGGGCCAATTTTGACCCCAGGGCTTTTATTTGAACAAACTTGGTAGATCTTAGCTCTAGCTCTTTGGGTTCTTTAAAAGAAGATTTTTTAAGTTTTTACTATATGCATATAGGGAAAATCAATGACCCCCCGGGGCGGGGCCAATTTTGACCCCAGGGCTTTTATTTGTACAAACTTGGTAGACACTCACTAGAAGATGTTTCATGCTAAATATCTAAGCTCTAGCTCTTATGGTTTTTTAAAAGAAGATATTTAAAGTTTTTTCTTTCGGTTGCCATGGCAACCAGAGTTCTACATGGAATTAAATTCTTTGAACAATTTTTAAAGGTGACCACCAAAGGAACATTCCTGTGAAGTTTGGATGAAATTGGCTTAGTGGTTTATGAGGAGATGTCATTTAAAGTAAAAGTTTACGGCCGGACGCCGGACGAAAAGCGATCACAAAAGCTCACCCTGTCACTTTGTGACAGGTGAGTTAAAAATTCATGTTATGTGCCATTAATGACCAATTTTGCTCAATTTTCACCATAATTCTACTGTGTTACGAATGCAGTAAGGACTATTTTTGCATACTTAAGACATCTTTTTGGTAATTTACAGTTGTTGTGCCATTTGCAATGTATAAATTATTTTTCTTTGTTCATTTCAAAAATATTTTACTTTTTAATACATTTTCAAAACTTTCATGAAAATCAGCAGGAATCTAAAGGCATGCTGCTTTTAAACTAAAGTACATCTCTTAATATTAAAACATAAATGAGCCATGCCATGACAAAACCAACATAATGGGTTTGCGACCAGCATGGATCCAGACCAGCCTGATCAGGATCCATGCTGTTCGCTTACTAACCCTATTACAATTAGAGAAACTGATAGCAAACAGTATTGATCCTGATCAAACTGCGCGGATGCACTGGCTGGTCTGGATCTATGCTGGTCGCAAACGCAATATGTTGGTTTTGTCATGGTGCGGCTCAAATTTGTATATACACTGTAGTGATATTTACATCTATGTCTTCCAAGATCTTCAAACTGTCAGTGTGAGTTCTGCAAGCCGTAGAAATACATGTAAATGTCTTCATATCTGGAACTACTTCTTCATGCTTCAAGCGTGAATACAAAGCCTGTAAAATGGAGATAAAAACATTATTATACTTATACACTGTATTTATAAATATAATATTGTGAAATATTGATTAATAAAATGTTTTTTTTATTTTCCGTATTTTCACTATCTATTAATCCAGTACAGTTTTATTCATCTTGTGGCATGAAAATTATCATATTTCACTTGTGGCTACTGCCACTTACGAAATATTTATTTTAATACCACATAAAGGTGCATCCACATAATAATTTTAATTGTAATAGCCTTGTAAGTTATGCAGTAAATGCTTACTTAAGAAATTTTTACGAAAATGTTAATCAACACTTACGATTGGATCATGAAACAAGAGGGCCATGATGGCCCTGAAGTCGCTCACCTGTAAATAGGCCCCCGGAGCGGAGCCAGTTTAAACCCCAAGGCTTTCATTTGAACAAACTTGGTAGACACCCATTAGAAGATGTTTCATGCTAAACATCTAAGGTCTAGCTGGTCAAGTTTTTTCTTTACACATATAGTTAAAAACAATGACACACTTGGGGCAGGGCCAGTTTTGACACCAGGGCTTTTATTTGAACAATATTTGTAGACACTTACTAGAAAATGTTTCATGCTTAATATCTAAACTCTAGCTATTCAGGTTTTTTCAAAGAAGATTTTTAAGTTTTTGCTATACACATATAAGGAAAATCAATGTCACCAAGGCGGGGCCAATTTTGACCCCAGGGCTTTTATTTGAACAAGCAAATTCGTTGAATTTATATCCCCCGCCGAGTACTGGTTATTATTTACACAACAACTGAAGACATAAGGCTTTATTTATATATTAATCATGGAATAAACAGTAATATTCTTTGAACTTGATAAATATTCAGGGCAATAACAGAGCCATAACTGTGTTAAATAGTAAAATCTGGAAATGCCAATGAGATGTATGCATACTACATAACTAATCAAGGGCCATAAATCTGAGTTATAAGTATCTGACCGGAACAAGGCAACTATATGCACATCTCCTCTTAGTATCCCATAAAGTTTCGTTGAATTCCAGCCAGTAGTAGCAGAGAAGTAGCAAGGAAACAAATATTTTTCTATATGGATACTGCATAACTAATCAAGTTTAAGTGTCTGACCAGAACAAGCCGACGATATGTGCATCTCCTCTTGGTATTGAAGGTCCCCATAAAGTTTCGTTGAATTCCAGCCAGTTGTTGCAGAGAAGTTGCGCGGAAACGATTTTTACTCCATATGCATACTGCATAACTAATCAAGGGCCATAACTCTGAGTTAAAAAGTCTGACTGGAACAAGCAGACGATATGCGCATCTCCTCTTGGTATTGAAGGTTCCCATAAAGTTTCGTTGAATTCCAGCCAGTAGTTGCAGAGAAGTAGTGCGGAAACGATTTTTACTCTATATTCATACTACATAACTAATTAAGGGCCATAACTCTGAGTTAAAGGGTCTGACCGGAACAAGCCGACGATATGTGCATCTCCTTTTGATATTGATGATTCCCATAAAGTTTCCTTGCATTCCAGCCAGTAGTTGCAGAGAACTACTCCGGAAACGATTTTTAATCCAAATGCATATTGCATAACTAATCAAGGGCCATAACTCTGAGTTAAAGTGTCTGACCGGAACAAGCCGACGATATGCACATCTCCTCTTGGTATTGAAGGTTCCCATAAAGTTTCGTTGAATTCCAGCCAGTAGTTGCAGTGAAGTAGCGCGGAAACGATTTTTACTCCATATGCATCCTGCATAACTAATCAAGGGCCATAACTCTGAGTTAAAGTGTCTGACGGGAACAAGCCGACGATATGCGCATCTCCTCTTGGTATTGATGATTCCCATAAAGTTTCGTTGAATTCAAGCCAGTAGTTGCAGAGAACTACTCCGGAAACGATCTTTACTCTATATGCATGCTACATAATTAATCAAGGGCCATAACTCTGAGTTAAAGGGTCGGACTGGAACAAGCCGACGATATGCGCATCTCCTCTTGATATTGATGATTCCCATAAAGTTTCGTTGAATTCCAGCCAGTAGTTGCAGAGTACTACAGAGAAACGAAATTCGGACGGACGGACGGACAACGCCAAAACTATATCCCCCTCCCGATTCCATCGGCGGGGGATAACAAACGTTGTAGACACTCACTAGAAGATGCTTCGTGCTTAATATCTCAACTCTAGCTAATTGAGTTTTTTCAAAGAAGATTTTTTAAGTTTTTGTTATACACATATAAGGAAAATGAATGACCCCCGGAGCGGGGCCAATTTTGACCCAAGGGCTTTTATTACAACAAACTTGGTAGACACTCACTAGAAGATGTTTCAAGCTTAGTATCTAAACTCTAGCTATTTGTTTTTTTCGAAGAAGATTTTTTAAGTTTTTGTTATACACATATAAGAAAAATCAATGACCCCCTGGGGGCAGGGCCAATTTTGACCCCAGGGCTCTTATTTGAACTTGGTAGACAACCTTTAGAAAATGTTTCATGCTAAATATCTTAGCTCTAGCTCTTTGGGTTCTTTAAAAGAAGATTTTTTAAGTTTTTACTATATGCATATAGGGAAAATCAATGACCCCCCCGGGGCGGGGCCAATTTTGACCCAAGAGCTTTTATTTGCACAAACTTGGTAGACACTCACTAGAAGATGTTTCATGCCAAATATCTTAGCTCTAGCTCTTTGGGTTCTATAAAAGAAGATTTTTTAAGTTTTTACTATATGGAAAATCAATGACCCCCCCGGGTCTGGCCAATTTTGACCCGAGGGCTCTTATTTGAACAAACTTGGTAGACACCCATTAGAGGATGTTTCATGCTAAATATCTTAGCTCTAGGTCTTTGGGTTCTATAAAAGAAGATTTTTAAGTTTTTGCTATACACATATAAGGAAAATCAATGACCCCCGGGGCGGGGCCAATTTCGACCCCAGGGCTCTTATTTGAACAAACTTGGTAGACATCCATTAGAACATGTTTCATGCTAAATATCTTAGCTCTAGCTTTTTGGGTTCTTTAAAAGAAGCTTTTTTAAGTTTTTACTATATGCATATAGGGAAAATCAATGACCCCCTGGGCGGGGCCAATTTTGACCCCAGGGCTTTTATTTGAACAAACTTGGTAGACACCCATTAGAGGATGTTTCATGCTAAATATCTTAGCTATAGGTCTTTAGGTTCTTTTAAAGAAGATTTTTTAAGGTTTTATTAAATGCATATAGGGAAAATCAATGACCCCCTGGGGCGGGGCCAATTTTGACCCCAGGACTTTTATTTGAACAAACTTGGTAGACACTCACTAGAAGATGTTTCATGTTAAATATCTAAGCTCTAGCTCTTTGGATTTTTTAGAAGAAGATATTTAAAGTTTTTTCTTTTGGTTGCCATGGAAACCAGAGTTCTGCATGGAATTAAATTCTTTGAACAATTTTCAAAGGTGACCACCAAAGGAACATTCATGTGAAGTTTGGATGAAATTGGCTCAGTGGTTTATGAGGAGATGTCCTTTAAAGTAAAAGTTTACGGAAGCCGGACGAAAAGCGATCACAAAAGCTCACCCTGTCACTTTGTGACAGGTGAGCTAAAAAGCTCTGTTCTTAAAAATAATTTGCAAAACTATTTAGTAGAACCACAAACCTTAGGCCAGCTTACTAGACAACATCCTCATATTTAAGGTGATTCCGCTTTGTCAGCCATGTTTGTTTTCACTCAAGTCTGTTCAAAGCGAAAGTAGGCCAAAATTCATATAACAACAAAGCTCTTATTGTAAAATGATGAACCATTTGAAAGTACACTTCCAGGTTTATATTTTAAGGACAATTATAAACAAAAATAAAAATGATAACAATAAGAATATTTACCTTGAATGTGCTACATTTCTGAAGACCAAAAGCATTCTGTTGCAAAGTTTCTAAGCACATTTCATGAATGGCAAAATATTTTTAAAAGTCTGTTTTAGTGCCTACAAAAGCTATTTTTTGCAGCAAATACAAAAATCTTTCAAAACTTAACTCCAAATAAATCCATATCTCATGTCCTTCTAAGCACATGGCCTCCATTATTTTTTGTAAAAAAGTAGTGCAAGAAAACAATCATCATTTACAGCCTTATGAACTTCAATTTAAATGAAAACACAATCAAACTTTAAAATCTAACCTTTTTTATGTGTAACAGTGAAGTGTGTCTGTTTGTCATGTACACAAGAAATAGGTAAATGATGTTTATTTTCATGGTACTACTTTTTTACACATGTCATGGTGGCCATGTTTTTTCAAGGTCAGATAAACTACTTTCCTAAGATTTATGTTTTTTAAAGTTTTTTTGTATTTTCTGCAAAAAATAGCTTTTGTAGGCACTAGAACAGACTTTAAAAAGCATTTTGCCATTCATGAAATGTGCATAAAAATTTGCAACAGAATGTTTTTGGTCTTCAAGGTGAATTTTCTTATTGTTATCATTTTTATTTTTGTTTAAAATAGTCTTTAAAACATAGAACTGGAAGTGTACTTGCAAATGGCTCATCATATAACAATGTGAGCTTTTTTGTTATAAGAATTTCGGACTACTTTCACTTTGGACAGACTTTGTGAAAACAAACATGGGTGACAAAGCGGAATCACCTTAAGTATTCTGGCAGGATTCAGTGACCATAACCACCTTGCCAAAGAGGCCGCCAACAAGACACATTATAAAACACCCAAGTAAAACCAGATCTTGCAAAAGCTAGATCGATAAATGCCATGCAAGAAAGAATAAACAGCCTTTGGAATACATGGAAAATATAATTTCCAAAGTAACTTGCAATAAGTTAGGAGTTTAACGATATTTTCATTATTTTTTACATATATAAAACACTATAAATACCAATGATAGTTACCCAAGCTGAATCTTTGTCATGTTGAGCTCCCCTCTTTTTAAGAAGGATATTATAGAAAAAAACATCTGGCTTCATTCCTCTGGCCCACATTTCGTCAATTATTTCATCCTCTAAATGTGCAGGTGCACTTTGGGCAAGGTAAGTAAAGACCCTCCTGTCTGGCTTCAGGTTGTCTTTCTTAAGACTTTCCAGAATGCCCTTTACTCCTCCAATAAGAGCTAATCGATGTTCAGGTTTCTTTATCTGCTTCACTTGGATAACAGAAGCAAGCCTTTCATTTGGATCAAGTATATTAGGAAGGTCAACATGGCTTTCATAAAGTTCTGCTACTTCCTCTCTCCTTGCAATCTCAGTATTGACATTGCCTTCAAATATATCCATCTGCCACCATTCTTTGTTTATCATAGTTTCTTTTTCAACTTTCTCGTCAAATGCTATATCATCTTTAATATTATGCTCACGTTTTACACTTTCATCATCAATATCATAATTATTCTTATTAATATCTTCATTCCCATCATCAACAATACCTTGGTTACTTTCAAAAGTCATATTATACTTTGTTAAAAGACTATCTATTTCTTTAAATGCTTGAACATTTCTTTCTCCTTCCTTCTCAAACTTTCTACCTTTAGATCTAGCTTCTATAGCTTTTATGCTATCAGTACTTCGGGCATGATTGTGTCCCCCTGATATACCTAACACTTTATCAACAAGTAAAGGCTCCCCTATTCCACACACATCAACAGCATGTAACAATAACTTATAGGAGGCTAATTTTGGCTTAATCCCTAATTCCCTGAATTTTCTCCATGCCTGAAAAAATATACAAAAATAAAGTTTGTTTGTTTGTTTTGGGTTTTACGTCACATCGACACAGTATAGGTCATATCGCGACGTTCCAGCTTTACTGGTGGAGGAAGACCTCAGGTGCCCTTCCGTGCATTATTTCAGGCACAAACGGACACCTGTGTAGAACCACCGATGTTTCGTAAGCTAGCAGCTGGATAACTTCCTCACATGAAAGAATCCAAAGTCCTTGTCGGGATTCGAACCCACAGCGGTGAGGGGCAAGTGGTTTGAAGTCAATGACCTTAACCACTCGGCTACGGACGCCCCAGAAATAAAGCAATATACCGTTTTAATGTACCTTTTTAAAAATATTCTAATAATAAAAAGGGTAAAAATCTTGCATTTTTTTCTCCACAGTAGATGGTAGCTGGAACTCTGTAAAGTTTTAAAATATTTTCAAAAGTTTTTAAACTTTAAATGTGTTTATTTCCTGCTGTAATTTTCTTCAATTGTAAATCTTGAAGGGCATGTTTTAGGGGAATTATATCCAATCAAAAAGAACTGAATAGCTGTGGAAAAAGTTCATTGGCAAGAAAATAACTATACACTGAAATAAATAATTTGACTAGTATCTTTAAATATACAGTACTGTATATATACAAGGTGTAGTTACATAACCTGTAGAATATCATATTCACAGCAATGACATTTTAATTAAAGTTCCAAAATTACTATTGAAATAGATAGTAATATACAATGTAACTCAAAAGACTGAAAGTTGAAGATACATACCACTACTGCATGCCTAAACCCCGCCTCTTTGTCTGATATACAGGCAATAAGGAGGTTGTTCATCAGGTCTACAGACGCGCCCATTTCAAATGCCTCGTCAGCAACTCTGAAAGCTTTATTAATGTCTCCATTCATCCCATATGCTTTAATTATAGCCATTCTTGTGATATATGTAGGCTGTCTACCATGACTTAACATTTTTGCGTGCAGTGAATCTATTCGTTTTAGAGCCTCTTTTTGGAAGTTGGAGGGGGCATTTGCACAGGCATTAAACAAAGATGTGTATATGGGATCCTCAATATAAATTTTCAGCTTTCCCATCTGAAATTCAAAAAGAAAAGCAATTCAATTAAATGTTTATCAATAAGCCACTTAACTAACATCTTTATTATGTCAATCAATTGACTGACCACATGAAAACTTTATTTTCTTTTTACTTTTACATGTGACAATACATGATTTGTCAGCAGCATGTAAGAAACAAGAAAGCCCTGACTGAATAATTCACTTGCCTGTTTGCAACCATTAAAACAAAAAAAAATTCAATTCAAGTAAACTTTTTAACAATTTTATTTTACAATACCACCCCAAAGATCATACTTCATGAGTTCCAGCAAAATCTGCTGAGTTGTTACCCCTTACCCTGCTGAAATGAACTTGTCTAACTTACATTTTTGGAACGGTCAATTATCAATTTGGAGAATATTAAGATGAAAATTTGATGTTGGTCAGCCAACAGTATAATGCTAGGTCAGACTGCACTGATATGTAGACTGACCTGGCATTATACTGATGGCAAAAGCTTATCACTTTCAGTTCAAGCAGGTAATTGGGTAAGGAGAAGATGTCATTTAGAATTAGAGCCATCTTGTTTAGAGAACTGAAACAATTTAGCCAGTGAAGTTAAAGACACATTGTGCCCCAGTGATACATATTGAAATGTCAAACATGTGTTAAATAATGTTTTAATAATGGATTAAGAGTACAGTCAACTATCGTTATCTCGACATCGCTTTTCTCGATATTTCATTATCTTGATGAACTTTTGAAAGTCCCGATTTTCTTCCTGCTTTATCTATATTGGAAATATTTGTTTATCTCGATATTTTTATTTCGATATTTTCAGTATCTCGATGTAAAATTTCAGCCCTAACAGTTATTTTCACACTACTATCCTTTGTTTATCTCGACTAATCATTTTCTTTTGTCTGTTCCTTCAGAAGTGTGAAAAACACAAACTACACAATAATTGCTCAATAGCCCGCGTTATAATGATGATTATGTTTGTAACAAGTTAAGCTGTTTTTATAAAAGTTAATGTATTTAGCATGTTGATTGACTTATGTCCAAAATGAGTGAATTTTACGTTCTTTATAAATATTCGAACACTGTATCAATTCATTATGACTTTAGATGTAAATGAAATAGTGAAGGTAGAATGCTATCGTTGCAATATTGTTTCACAACATCACCACCAAATCCATCAGCGGTGGAAAAATCTTTATAACTAACCCAGGAGGATATTTGGATCAACATCACTGAAAATTTCTGTTTTCACTATATTGGTGTATTACTGAGTAAACCTCACTATTTGTTTTTATCACAGACAACCGTATTTCCGCTGGTAAACTTCCGCTAATGTTACTTGTTAAATATTTGACTAGGCCTATGAAAACAAGACATGGGGATATCATAGTTTATTTGACATAAGTTATGCACAGGTTTTTTGTAACAATCAGTTTCTGCCTCATTCAAACCCTTATATGTTTATCTCGACATTTCGTTATCTCGATATTTTTGGACGGTCCCGATGACTTCGAGTTAACGATAGTCGACTGTATGTTAGATGTTTAACAACTGAAGAAAGTAGGGCTGAACGTGCAGTATTGTGTCACAAAGGTAGCAAAATGTAACTAAAGTACACGTAGTATTTTTACTTCCATACAAAATACTAATTCACTAAATTTACCATTTGCAAAAAGAACAAAGGAAGTAAAGGATAGTTTATGTTGTGTATGGCAAATGAGTTTTTTCTTGGAAACTGTGACAAGATAAACAAGATAAATATTTTTTTTGTGAAATAAAAATGATAGCATTTCAGAGGCATAATGGGTCTTTAAATCAACCAAAGGAAATTTCTATGGAGTTTCATTAAAATCTACCCATTGGTTGAAAGCTTATTTCTAATTCTAGCTCTTGTGTTCACCAGACCATAACAAATTTACCTAATTTTGTAGGGGACCATCAATGGATAAATTCTATAATGTTTCATTAAAATCTTTCCATCGGCTGAGTAAATGTCTTTGAAGCAAACAATAGTAATGAATCGTTTAAAATAAATTTTCCGCACAAATTTAACAAGACATCATTGTAATTATATAAAAGTAACAAAATACATTTTGTTATAACAGGTGACTAAATTGACAGATTACCAGACTATACAGCTCAAATGCCTTATCGATGTATCCAACTTGTGCGAGTAGGTCTATGATGACGGAAAACTCGTAACCTGTAGGTTTCACCCTATCTTGTTTTATCATCCACGTCTCAAACACTTCTATGGCTTCTCTCACCTTCAAATAGATGCTATATTTTTATAAAACATGGACTAATACAAAATGGGATTTTAAAATTTTAACCATTTAAAATAGAAAAAAAAAAGAATTCGTAACAGAGTTACCAACGTCCCCTGCCTCAGGGAAGTTTAACATGAAGCATAAAATTGTGCTATTTCAAAAGATTTTGGTATGGATCGCAGGACTTTCAGTCCAAAATAATGATCAATGCTAGATCTGCAAATGCAACAATTAATTTATTAAAGAAATAAAATGAAACACAGAATTTAAAAATCTATCATGTAAAGCTTTTGACCTCTAAGTGTGATCTTGACCTTCGAGGTAGGGGTGCAGGTGTTACGCATGACATATCGTCTTATAATTGTAACTCTTTGTGCCAAGTATTTTCAAATTCCCTTGAACTATGAAGAAGTTCTAGATTGGACACAAAATATATTCTATAACAGACTATGTTAATTTTTTACCTCTAAGTGTGACCTTGACCATGGAGGTAGGGATGCATGTGTTGTGCATGACACATTATCTTATTATAGTGACTTTTTGTGCCAAGTATTTTCAAAATCCTTTGATCTATGAAAAAGTTATGGACCGGACACAAAATATACACTATAACAGACTATGTTAATCTTTGAGCTCAAAGTGTGACCTTGAGCTTGGTGGTAGGTGACCAGTTTTTGCATATGACACATGGTCTTATTATTGTGAACAATTGTGGCAAGTATTGACAAAATCCCTTCAAAGATAAGAAAGTTATGGACCTGACACGACATATACCCTCAAATAGACAATGCTGACCTTGAATGAGCAAGTGTGACCTTGACCCTGGAGGTAGGGATCTGGTTGTTGTGCATGACACATTGTCTTATTATATTAAACATTTGTGCCAAGTTATTTCGAATTTCGATAAATGACAAAGTTATGGACCGGATATGAAAGTGTGACAGATGGACGGAAAGAAGGACGTACTCACAAATGGTACTTATGTGACTTTTCCTTTGATCTTTTTGGCCATTTTTAGTCACACAAGGCTTAAAAAAAGTAAAAACGGAATGAATAGGATCAAAGGGAATTTACTGTTACCCATTGTTCTCCAAGTCACACAAGTACCTCTGGGTTCGTACGTCCAGACAGACAGACAGACGGACGGAGCCTATTTCTATATCCCCCTTTTTTCTTCGAAAAGGTGGGGGACAATAAACCCAACAAGTAAGTTTGTTCAATTAATACCCTTTACGATACAATATAAATCTGTCTTATGTTCTTTATCAAAATAAAACAATTCTAGTGAAGTTGGTACATCGTGTTTCTATGATTAACATGCATGTTAAGGCAGAATGGCATTTTTAGATTTTCCTGTTAGTAAAAGACCCCAAAATGTTTGTCAGTTAATGTTAGGTTACATGCATAGGTGTCAGGGCTTCCATGAATGGAAGTTTGGGAGTCTTTACTCCTTACTTTGACTTGTGACTTCCAAAATATAACCCTTTTCCTTCTTTACCTATATAATGTGACTTCCAGTGTTAAGACATTTTGCAGTCAAAACAAAACAAGAAACATGGCAATGCCATGAAACCAGGTTTTCAATTATCACCATTGTAGATAAATATGTTGTATTTGAAATACAAATACAAGCAACAAACAATGTAACTATGTGCAATGTAAAACATGAATAATGTAGGAGGAATTGCGCACAGAAGAAGTGTTCACTATATATATTCTGTATAAGGAAAAAAAACAAAGGGCCATAATTAGGTAAACAAGAACCGGTTGAACCGGGTGATGCTCCCCGAGAAGGTTCTGGACACAGGAAAGTATAAAAAAAATGAACAAAGGGCAAAAACTCCAAAATTAGGCAAAGCGGAGTTATGTTTTTTTGCACTGCACTTCTATTCAATGAGATCTATCTATCTATAAAGTTTCCTGATGATATCAGAATTATGTCCCAGGTAAAAGTCAAAGTGTAAAAATGAACAAAGGGCAATAACTCCAAAATTAGACCAGGCTTTGTTTAGGTTCTTTAAGCATTGCAATTCTATCCAATTATATCTAGCTACCTACAAAGTTTCATGTTGATATCTCTAATAGTTTTAAAGTATTGTCCAGGACAAAGTCAAAAAGTAAAAATAAACAAAGGGCAATTACTTCAAAATACGGCAAGGCAGAGTTACGGTTCTTGTGCATTGCACTTCCACCCAATGAGACCTATCTATCTACAAAGTTTCATGTTGATATCTCTTATAATTTTAGAGTAACGTCCCAGACAAAGTCAAAGTGTCAAAATGAACAAAGGGCAATAACTCCAAAAGTAGGCAAGGCAGAGTTACCGTTCTTGTGCACTGCACACCTACTCAATGAGATCTATCTACCTACAAAGTTTCATGTTGATACCTCTTATACTTTTAGAGTAATGTCCCGGACAAAGATCAAAGTGTAAAATAAACAAAGGGGGATAAATCAAAAATAAGACAAGGCAGAGTTACCGTTCTTGTGCACTGCACACCTACTCACTGAGATCTATCTACCTACAAAGTTTCATGTTGATACCTCTTATACTTTTAGAGTTATGTCCCGGACAAATTTCAAAGTGTAAAATAAACAAAGGGGGGTAATTCAAAAATTAGGCAAGGCAGAGTTACAGTTCTTGTGCACTGCACACCTACTCAATGAGATCTATCTACCTACAAAGTTTCATGTTGATACCTCTTATACTTTTAGAGTTATGTCCCGGACAAAGTTCAAAGTGTAAAATAAACAAAGGGGGATAATTCAAAAATTAGGCAAGGCAGAGTTATGGTTCTTGTGCATTGCACACCTACTCAATGAGATCTATCTACCTACAAAGTTTCATGTTGATACCTCTTATACTTTTAGAGTTATGTCCCAGACAAAGTTCAAAGTGTAACAAGTTAAAATCATGTAAACAGGATTTTCAATGTTAATGTCACTGTGACCTTGACCTTGGAGCCAGCCATGCGGAACATGCGTTCTGCACGTCATCTTGATGTGGTAAACATTTGTCTGAAAGTTCATCAAAATTCTTCAAAGGGTTGAAGAGTTACAGAGCGGACAGGATTTTCAATGTTAATGTCACTGTGACCTTGACCTTGGAGCCAGCCATGCGGAACATGCGTTCTGCACGTCATCTTGATGTGGTAAACATTTGTCTGAAGTTTCATCAAAATTCTTCAAAGGGTTGAAGAGTTACAGAGCGGACACAATTTCGTTTGACGCCCGCCCATCCGCCCATCCGCCCAGCCGCCCATCCGCCCATCCGCCCGCCATACCCCAATCTAATAACCAGGATTTTCAAAATTGAAAACCTGGTTAACAAAGAGAAAATAACTAAATAACCTTTCCTTCCTTTCCAAGCGTTTTTATTCGTCTTGCGTACCAATTCGGAATATGACGTCTGCCGTATCGTGCCAAACGTACATGATTTACGATGTGGGCCGTTTCCTTTCTTTCTTTCTCCATTTCCTCTAAATACCTAAAAGTAACAAATTAATAAAACACTAATATATCTTAATTTGTCAAAACATACAGAAAATAAACACATAAACAACTTTTGAATTTAAATAACTTGTGACTCAAATAACTTTTTCATGCAGTGTAACTTATGCTCTTAATTTTCGGGTAAGGTTTTATTACCATTTTAAAGTGATTAGAATCTAATGTATGGACATCATTTAGTAAAATTAATTGGTAACTTTTGTCATTGGTTTTGGTTTTCAAAGTAGTTTAATATGGCACTTACTCTTATTTCCTACAATGTACATGTATCTTAAAAGTGAATAACCAAATATTATAAAATGTGTTTTATTTTTTACCTTTCATTATCAACTAATGCTGATTTTTCCATTTTTCTTTGTTCATTTTCATCAAGGAGTGTCCCAAATGTTTCACTCCAGTCCTTTGGTAAAACTGTTTTCTTCTTCTTAGAATGTTTTTCTTTTGAGTATATTGGCCCAATATGTCTGTCATAGTCTAAATTTTCTGCTGAGGATTTTGTCTCAAAATGTGTCTCAGAGTCTAAATTTCTATTATCTTTTCTTAAATGGTAACTCTCTGCCTCAGTTTTGAACATTTCTTCAGCCTCTATTTCGTCTTCTGTATTATCATATGTCAAGAGTTCTTTCCTACGCAGTGGTTGTTTCCCTTCTTGATAAACATTTTGATCAGTTCTTTTGGGATATTCTTTGTCATTTCTAACCACATTCCTCCTAAAACTGTTGTCATGGTATGAATTTCTTGTAGAGGATTTTGGCTCAAAGTATCTCTCATGGTCTGAATTTCTTCTAGAGGAATTATGCTCAAAGTATTTCTCATGGTCTGAGTTTCTTCTAGAGGATTTTGGCTCAAAGTATCTCTCATGGTCTGAATTTCTTCTAGAGGAATTATGCTCAAAGTATTTCTCATGGTCGGAGTTTCTTCTAGAGGATTTTGGCTCAAAGTATCTCTCATGGTCTGAATTTCTTCTAGAGGAATTATGCTCAAAGTATTTCTCATGGTCTGAATTTCTTCTAGAGGATTTTGACTCAAAGTATTTCTCATGGTCTGAATTTCTTCTAGAGAACTTTGGCTCAAAGTATTTCTCATGGTCTGAATTTCTAGAGGATTTTGGCTCAAAGTATTTCTCATGGTCTGAATTTCTTCTAATGGATTTTGGCTCAAAGTATCTTTCATGGTCTGAATTTCTTCTTGAGGAATTATGCTCAAAGTATTTCTCATGGTCAGAATTTCTTCTAGAGGATTTTGGCTCAAAATATCTTTGATGGTCTGAACTTCCTCTTGGGGATTTTGGCTCAAAATATCTTTGATGGTCTGAACTTCCTCTTGGGGATTTTGGCTCAAAATATCTTTGATGGTCTGAACTTCCTCTTGGGGATTTTGGCTCAAAATATCTTTGATGGTCTGAACTTCCTCTTGGGGATTTTGGTTCAAAATATCTCTCATGGCCAATATTTCTTCTTGAGGACTTTGGCTCAAAATGTCTTTCATAGTCTAAATTTCTTCTTGAGGACTTTGGCTCAAAATATCTTTCATAGTCTAAATTTCTTCTTGAGGATTTCTGCTCAAATTTTCTCTCATTTCTTGAAGAGTTAGACTCAAATTGCTTTTCATGATCATTGTTGCCTTTTGAGAATTTTGAGTAACTCTGCAACCTCTGTTGTTTAATATATAGCATCCGACACCATGTTAAAGGTGGGCGCCATGAGGAACATACATGAAGTGCTGACAACATTTTTTGTTTGACTTGTCAATTCCTTTATAAGTGCGGCTGAAAAAAATAAAAGAATTCAGTTAATAGTAATAAGAAATTTAATATATATTCTAAACTTATAACATTCATATATGATATGATATTTAATAAATAAATCAACAAAAATATTAACAAAGACTACTACGTAAAACCTACATAACACTCTTATAAAGTTGCTGTGATGCTATATATGATGACATTATGGACATAAAAATATTTAACTTTGAAGAGTTACTTAGTTTTAGAGCTTGAGTTCAGATGCTTAGCAGTATTTTTTTTCACCAATATATTTGATGAAATTCAGCCCAATTCCCCCCTTCAAAATAGTATGTTTTTCTCCCTCCTCAAAGCTGAAATTTTCGCCCATACGGGAACCCGAATTTGCCTGCAAAGAGTATCATTTTTTGCAACTAACTACCGAAAAAATGGTTTATTTTAATGCCTGTAAGACTTGCTGTTAAGCAAGGTTGTTTACAAATCGTTCCGGGGTACATGCAGGTAAGGGGAGCTACTCTCAGCATCCCAAAAAGTTTAACATGCGACGCTTTAAATTCTGCTGTTGATATTTTAGATCCGTATATAAAGAAAAAGCGATGTATGTAATAGATATACCATTGCTGCGTTGACGATTTCTGGGTTTGCGTAAATTATACCATAATCACGTGACCTTTCTTATGCCTTAACCTCACGAGACGAAGTCGAGTGAGGTTGCATAAGAAAGGTCACGTGATTATGGTATAATTTACACAAACCCAGAAATCGTCAACGCACCAATGGTGTATCTGTTTTAACCTATAGCTCCGCCCAGAAACACTTACTCCTTCGATCTTCAAAACTGAAAATTATACCATAGTCTGGGTATGGTATAATTTACGGTTATTGGAAATTATACTTCCAAGGAAGAATTTTACATAAGAAGCGCTGAAGAGCTATAGGTTAATTTAAACTTGTGTTGCTCCCCTTTTCTACTGGAAAGAAAACAATGTTGTATAACAGTAAATCTTACAGGAAAAAATAAACTATCTACAGTGAATAGTTGCTCTTTTTCATTGCACCTCATTTGTGAGGAAATAAAATCAATAGATCTTCCAAATCTGTGGCCGATATTCAGCCATGGTCCCCATCAAAATATATTTTTTTTCCCCTTTAAGAGGTAAAAATTACCCTTCATATGAAATGAGAAAAATTGAAAGTCATGATGTTTTTGAAAAGTAAAATTGATCTGTTTCACAGCGTTTTTGTCAGTCAATTTTGTATGTCTGCACCATTTTCAGTTTCACATGGATTTCATATTTGTATGGATGCACTGGGAAGACTTCTCAAAATTTTTCACAACAGAAAGTTGTATCGTAAAAAAAACCAAAAAAACACTGATATATTGCAGTTTAATTGGTAGTTTATTGATATTTGACCGAAAAGGAAATGAAAAAATTTCCCCAAACACTGCAATTCCCTCTGCTGAGGGTAGCGACCTACTTCCCCGAAATTGGATTCATGCCCGTCACATGACATTGCTTTTCATGTAATATAAGCATGTATATTTATCTAGGTTTGCCAAGACTTTAGAATATGTATGCAACTATTTTTTAACTTTTTACACAAAATTATTACAGTATTTATCAATTTATGTTTCTCTCAACATCACTCAGATTAGTTCTAGGGTTACGGTCAGAGATATATAAACAACGGATAGGAAACTCCGAAAATATACGATAGTCAGATTCAGACCCACAATCCCTTGCGCGCTTCGGTGATAATCAGGCTTTTCCGCTTTCTCCGATTTTCAAGCTATCATTAAACTTCGGCGATATCCGTGAATTATTGCTTACATTGCCCACAGGCAATCGGTGCGTGGCTTGGATAGTATACATGTACATGACCACGCCCACGTATTTGTTATAAATATTTTTTTTTCACTAATAAAATATTTTTTCATTCAAAACGTTTTTAAAATATCTTATTTTCAATAAATCAACAAAGGAAATTTGTTTTTAAAAATTTCATCCATATATACTATAAATATAGTATAGTATCAACAAAGGAAATTTGTTTTTAAAAATTTCATCCATATATACTATAAATATAGTATAGTATAGTACTATATTTATAGTATATATGGATGAAATTTTTAAAAACAAATTTCCTTTGTTGATTTATTGAAAATAAGATATTTTTAAAACATTTTGAACAAAAAAATATTTTATTAGTGGAAAAAAAAATATTTATAAAAAATAAGTGGGCGTGGTCATGTACATGTATACTATCCAAGCCACGCACCGATTGCTTGTGACATTGCCAACATGTTTTTTCATCAGAGAAATATTTGTGTGGAAAAGTGTGTTTTGTACGTTTTAGAATAAATAACTATTGCTTCTTATATAAGTAGAAAATATTTAGTCTTTTTTGTTGATGTACCTCCAGGAATTCAATTTGGTGGTATTTTGGCTACTTTTACCCAGGATGCATCAAATCTCGCAAAATCCCGCGATATGTGATAACTTGCGGGAACATAAGTCCGCCGATACTGATTTTAACTGACATCACTGTGAGATTCTTCTCCATTTTATATTTAGCTCCATGTTACGGTTAAGGTTTAGGGTTAGTGTTATCGGTTAGGGTTCTTGGGTTAGGATTTTAACACATGAATTTTGCTGCAGACAGATTCTAAAAGTGCTCCATTATCTATTTATATTACACAAACAATTAAAGCTGATTCTGTACTGGCATGCGAGCAGTTCCCGTACAAAAATCGTAGTTACTTAAACATTATTTTTTATTACGCTCACTCACCAATATTTGAATGTTACACATCAATATTCGGCTCGTCAAACAAATCATGGAAATTCCATCATGTTCTAAACATAGAATAACCCTTAGTTATGAGGCCTCATATGGGGTACCGAAATTATCCATTATTTTGTATGAAGAGAAGTAGTTCCCGTACATAAAATTTAACCCATAATAATTATACAATTTTATTATATCGGACCTATTTTTTATTTATAATTGTTGAACAGACCATTTTCTAAGAGATAAATAGATGCAATTCAGGAAATAGAAAGTAGACTAAACGAGTGTATCTATTACCCGGTACCGTTACCCCAACGCATTCACATGCGATGGCATGCTTGTATGCATGATATTTTACGCATCAAAGCCATAAAATTATTTTATATAGTAATACGGGGAAGTCAAAGACCGGGACCGCGAAGCGGGTCCGGGCTTTGGCTTGCCCGGCTATAGACTACACATGTATATGTAAAAGAAAATCAAATAAAAAACAATTAAAAAATATGTAGAATTCTATACCTATCAATGATTTTTTCAGTGTCAGTTCTAGTCGGGCGCCGCCATTTACAATGTAACTCAATGATAATAGGCGGGGTATTCCGATAACGGAACAAATCTCAACTTTTCGGATAAATGATAATCGTCGAGTGTTCCGAGTGAAAACGGAAGCGGTGCATGTAATACCGAATAACACCTTTAAAACGGAAAGAATGAAAGGAATTTTTAACGACTTCCCCGTTCATAGGCCTTGCCTAATTTCATATTATTGGTCAAAATTCTGATAATTAAACAAGTTTTCATCACATTGCCTACTTATCTGTAAACAGGTGGTATTAGTGGAAAACCCTTTAACATGCCTCATGTGTAAGTATTTTTGCACATGCGCGCAAGGACGGAATCCCCCAGAGAAAACAAGGTCACATTTTGACAACGCACAGGTGAAAGTGATTTAAAATGAGACTTTTTATACGTACTGCCGAACTGACACTTAGATTTTGTCTCGCGTATGTATCTGCTTGATTTGAAATGAATTATTGAAGACTGCAAGTAAAAATAAAGCGTTTAAATGAAAAATATGGGTACTGCTTCTGTACGGGAACTGCTCACATGCCAGTAAAGTTTGTTGAAATTATCATATTTTTTTTTAAAAGCACAATATCCTCAAAATAGAAAAATGCAACATTTAATCTTATTTATTATCATTTGAAAATAAAATACAGGGAAGGTCTCAACAGTAAAATGTCTGGCATTCCTTAAAAGACTCTGTGTTTGTGTTTCCTTAACACAAACTGACAGTCAGATTTTTTTCTCAATCAAGAGTCGCGAAATTATATGACAATAGTTCAATTGAACGGATTTCTTTAAATAAATACAATCATAATTGAATGTACCTTTAGTAAATAATTATAATAAGATATAAACCTTTACTGGAGATGAACATCTGTGAACATAATTCTCATTTAAAGAATTTTTGTCATGCTGTCTATTTAACTGTAAGAACGACACAACGTTATTTTTCAAGGTGGTTTCATGCGACTAAATTTGGTAATGAACTGCGTTGATTATAACGTACTGGAAAAATAACAATTTTTCCTTTTATCATAAACAAGAGGAGGATCAAGGACATGTGAAACATGTTGAAAGTAAAAAAATAAATGAAAACGAAAATGAAAATTATTCATTACGAGATATTCTTATTCTATATTTCGTTAATTAAGGGGACCACGAATTTATATTACAATATTGTAAAATAAATCCGCGGGGGACGTAGACATGCCTGCGCGTCAAAAATCGCAAGAAAGTTAAAAAGAGTTGTTTAAAGAGGATAAAATAGAGGATATTTGTTTGTTTTGCATGTAAGATTGAAATATAATTTCACTGAGTGAACACCAGATGCAATATTTTCACGAGTGGCGTAGCCACGAGTGAAAATATAATAGCTGGTGTTTCACGAATGAAATATATTTTAATCTTATATGTAAAACAAATAAATTTTCTTTTTATTTCATGCTTTTAAAGTAATTTTAAGTATTTTTTACTGATTTTGCCGCACGTAACGGTCGCGCATTCCTCCTTTGTGACCGTCATACATCATGTCGTCATGTGCATCATCAATTTTGAAATATAGTTCTGTAAATTCTCTAATATTGTTACATTTTTTACATGATGATATGGTGACATCGACTTTCTTTTCCTTATAGAAGCAAAATTTACGTATGATGAGCAATTATTTTCTGCCTGTTATTCGCATTTAGTTTAAATTTTTTCTTTTTCCCCCAATAAATGGTCCGCTTCAGATATAGTCCGTCGCTACAGTGAAAAATTATTATTTTATAAATTTCACTTAGTGGTTTACCAGAATATAATCATCTGATATATTACAATAAAACACTGGAAAGCATGAAATAAAGAATATTTAAAAATGTTAAAACAGGGACTGGAATACTAGGGTGAGACATGTTCGATGCAAGCTTGACTGCACTGAACTGCTCTGGGGTATTGTACACACATGTTAGTAGGTCAACTGCAGGGGTATGTCGATTTAGTGGTACCGTCCTAGGAAAAGAATGAAGAATTTATTATTCAGATGTTGCTGTGAATAACCTATAACATAAAGGGTTGGCCATGGCGTGACATTCGGGACAATGGGTGTCAAAAACATTCTTCTAATTAGGGATAGCAACCAGACCATGGTGAATCTTATAGGCAGAAGGGAATAAACCCAGAAATCGTATACGTCTGTTATGAAGTTCGAGTTTTCGAAGGTTTTAAAGGAGTAAAGCAAATGTCCGGACTTACGCTAGAGGTTCTCGACCATAATCTACGTAGGATGTCACCATCGGGGGAAATTAACTTTCAGGTTTTCTGAATTGATATGAATGTAGATTATAAATATCTACTAAGAGTAATGAATATAGATGTTCTACCACTTAGAGAGATATTCTCAAAACGAATGACAATTTTTGGATATTTGAAACCATACTGTACCTTAAATTATATGTTTATTACATGCTTTTTTCGTGTTTATAGGAAAATATATCAGTGAAATATAAAAAACTTGTTAATTTTCACTGTTTGAATACAGGAAATTACCAATTTTGATAATTTTTCATGTTTTGAATTTTAAAGCCCCTTACGTTGTTTAAAGTGAAATACCAGGAGCCACAGTCGGGTACCAACTTAAATGTGACGGGGGGGTGGGCCCGTTCGAAAATGACGTCAACTTTGTTTATTATTTGGCGCGCTTTTCAATTCAAATATTCGGTTTAATGTCTTTTTTAAAAACGTTTTTTGCATAAAATAAAAAAGGGAAAATTTTGTTTAGTTTAGTGTAAGAATCGAAATATTATTTTCACCTTGTGAAACACCAAAAAAAGTTCAATTTTCACTGTGGCTTCGCCACTCGTGAAAATATACCTTTTTTGGTGGGCTCACTCGGTGAAAAATTTCCGATCTTACACTGAACTAAACCCAAATTTATCCCTCTATATATTATATGTTATTTTTGGTTTTTGGTTGAGTGGATATATGTGGATATATTACCTGTTAAGGGATTTTATATCCCCCGGAGCCCGTTAGGCCGTCAGGTATTATTTGGAGCGCTTTTTAAATAGTAAATTAGTTTTAAATTTGTCTTTTTAAAACGTTTTCTTTACATAAATAAAAAGAAAAATTTGTTTAGTTTTAGTTTTAAGATCGGAAAATAATATTTCACCTTGTTGAACCACCAAAAGCTCTATTTCCAATCGTCCTTTTTGTATGCGCCTTTGTGGAACACCAAAAGTTCATAATTTCTTATGAACTTCCCTTCTATTTTTCTAGTTAGCCTAATGCTTTTTTTTGCCCTACGCAGATTGAGCGATTGTGCGGGGAAAACACTACCTACGGTTGGGGTTTTTTAATAAAAAGGCAACGGACCGCGTCGTAAAAAAAGGTCTATTTCCGAATCTTAAACACTGAACTAAACAACATATCCTTTAATATTTATTTATAAGATAAAAACAAACATTCAATCTTATAAAATAAGCTATAAACCTATATAAACATGACAACAAAGTTGAATTTTAAAGTGCTTTGTAGCCCTCATAACAATCCGCAAAAAGACAGTATTCTATTTTTAACGTGTGCTGGTAGTTCTAAAGCCAAATGAAATAAAATACGGAAAGAAATTTCAGCATGGACATTTATGTGTTTTGTTTGGCCATAGTTTTTGGGAGTTTTAGGGTTCCTTCCTATTTAGACCCTTTGCTGTTCTAAATTTGATTCTTTTTTTTTCTAGTTGGGTGGTAGTAATCCTACTTGAATACTGTATAATTACTATAAGGATCTGTTTCCTACTTTTAAAATTTGTCTTTTGACGGCTTAAATGCATCATTTCAAGATCCATTTTATTTACTTCTGTAGATTGTATTTTCTTTGTACATACTTGTGGACCATACGTCGCTTTTCATGGAACAGCACGAAAACCGGTTTAAAATAGAAAATTCCATGATAACCCCCGTATTAACATTTTCCAAACGGATTCACCAAAAAGCAAAATTTTAAAACCCTGTTCATGTTTTAAAATTTAATTTAAACTTTTTAAGGGGGGTGCTGAAGGGCATAAAATGGCCATGGAGCTTTTCCCTTTTCTAAATTACCGTCCAATAAAAGGCTCAATTAAACCGAGCCGGTATCACCTTCATTTTCATCGTTTTGGGGATTATGTTTTTCTCTTTCTTTTTTATTTAGGAAATAGATATCAATTCTGGAGTGCATTGTTGTAGAATAATGCACGGTTTTGAGTTCAAATGTGCGTAGTAATATAATCACGAGGCCGATAGGCCTGAGTGATTAATTAAAAAGCATTTGAACGAAAAACGTGCTTATTCCCAATTTTTACAATAATGCACGAAGAATTAATATCTATTTCCCAGTTCTAAACACGTCAAGAAAAATTATAATTATTATTATAAAGTTGGACTCTAATGTTTGGTGGTTTAATTTGTTTTCGCCTCAGAGTTTCCCATTAGAAACGTTCTTTAAAGGCTGTCCCAGTTGGTTTGAAAAAAGCTGTCGATAAATCTACCGTGTGTAGAAACATTTTTGAGAAAAAACAAATTTTGAAAACGTTGGTAAAAAAAATTTTGTTTGTTTATTTTATTTCACTCTATTTTAATTTTTTTAAGCGAAATACAAATTTTTTAAAAGTGAAAATAAATGTGAAACTTAACTAGTGTGCGACATTAAAATAGCGTACTTGATTTGATTGTTTTGCACGTGCTGTTTGGCGCTACATTGTGACGTCACGTAAACAACACTTTAAACGTTCTGTACAGCGTTAACGACTGAATTTAAAGATATTGGTGTTCGGATTTTATTTTCTTAGTTAGACCATTTTCTTATCAATTCTAGATAGTTTTCACAACAAAATTCGAACAAAAAAATTGTTTTTATTTATCAGATTTTTTCAAACAAAAAAGGCCGCCCTCAATGTGAAAATACACCAGGGAGATAATAAGAAACGGCGGAGTGCATTGTTGCAGGGAATAATGCCAGCGGCTTCGGGCCCCTTCTTTGTCTATACAGAAAAAATTTCGATAGTGTTAGAATATAGCTTTTAACGTAAAACCCGAAGTGTTCTCTAATTTACGTAAACACTTCTAATGCTTTAATAAAGTTTTAAGTTTAAATATTTTTAGCAACTTTATAATTTAGGCCCTTTTAACACCCCAAAGGTCAATGTAAAGTTTCTTAATAATGCATTCATTCACAATTTACATGTGCATGTACAGTATTATATCCCTAGATAATTTTTAATTTTTACTGGGGAATGTCAACAACCGTTCATTTGAGGAGCAACATATTAATGCATGTGTTTTAAAGTTCAGGAGGTAAGACTTTCTTTATTTTACATGTATATTATCATGATAACAGAAATCATATCAAGGACTTGAAAAAGTTGTAGTATAAACTACATTTTATCATTTACATTCATTAACTATTCAAGGCCCCTCACGTGCCTTCCTCACAAAGATAATAACTGCTGTAATTTAAGCGTGTCTTATATGCTTATACAGTGTAATAAAAAATAAAATAATAAATAAGTAAATAAAATAATGCAACACTTTCCTCTGTATTCTTAAAGTGACATTATGCCCATCCAAGAGTATATAGTGAGTGAACAAGTGAAGCTCAAAATAAGTGCAATAATTTCTTTCAATACATGTATATTCCGCGTGAACGATATACGATATATAGAACCAAGGAATTTCTGTAGATATCCAAAAGAAATTACCGGTAAAGTTCAATTTACAAAAGGAGTGGGGCAGCCTTTTTATATTTTAGGCAGTTTTATATTTTATCCTTAACATGTATACCAGTATGGACTTTTAGCCAATCACCATTATTGGAGAGGTCATCAGACCTCTCCATAGTGTTCAGACTGATTGCTGGCGGCATCCATTTTTGCGTATCTGATTGCAGTGAATGGAATCTCATTTTAAGCGTTAAAATCATTAGGAGCAGTCTACAAAAAATTCGTTTTGCGCAATGCCCCGTTTCAAAACACGGCTTAACTTAAA